GGAGCATATAGAAGATTGTCAGAGCTATAGAACGACTGAAGCCTTTAAGTTGCTAAGGAGGGGTCCTGGCCTTCCTGTCAGCCCTCTGACCTCCTCCCCTTTCTGTCCCTCCTCCCCTTTCTAGTGTTTGAGGCCGCGGTCACTATGACAACAAAAGGGAACTAGGACTCCATGAACATGACGGGGGCTTTAAAAACAGTTTGACACCCCTGTGCTTTCCTTAGTAGAGTCCCTACATAGTTTCAGTCGTCTTGAGTCCAGAGGGATTAGAGCTTATTCACTTATCTGGAGAGAGTTGGAGGGCAACAGATGGACTCCCCCTGACCACAAATACTGATCTGAGTTTAGCAACTGCAAGAAGAGATCCTTAAGACAGGTGTAAATTACAATTTATATTAACTAGCTTATGAATATCTTCATTAGTTTTTACATGAACCAGAAGTTTGTGTAGTTCTTTGTGACGCACTAAGTTGTCACAAGCAGAATGACGTAAAGGCTGCAGCAGCACAATTAAATGCACATCTTATTATTAAGGTCACTGCAATAAAGTTAATTTCTCCAATTATCATCTTTTATGCACCGTGATACACTGAGAAAGAGCTAATTTTAAGTTAAGTAAAAACTATTTTTCAGACCAGTGCTCTCTCTCCGTAACTTTCATTCATATAAACTGTGTGAAAGATGAAATCACATCCAACAAAATTCTTTACATAAAGCATGTGAGCTAATATGAATTAAACGAGGAGCAGCAGAGTTCACTCTCGAATAATATTAAAGGATGAAATTGCTTAATTGGCAATCATTTTGATAATTGATTAATCGTTTTAGTCACATTTTAGGAGAAAAATGAGAAATATTTGCTTTTTCTAGCCTCAAATGTGATGAATTGATGTTTTTTTGGTCTGACACTGAATATATCCTTGAAGTTTGGACTGTTTAGTCAAAACAGGACATTTGAAGATGTCACCTCGGTCTGTGAGAATTCGATTATGAAAATAATCATTAGTTGCAGCCTTAAAGGCTTCAACAGTAAAATAAGTTTTTTTTTTTGTTTTTTTTAAACTTGACACCAGGTGAGCTCACCGACTGGCGCACAACCAGAAGATCACAGAAATCAGTCAGTTTGGTTGGATCCGATCCTCTTTGGTTTCAGACTGTTAATGTAAAGAAATATCATTTTGAGCATTAGGATTCTTTCTGACAGCTGCAGTTTGTAACAAACTCCAGATGTTAGTGCACTCAGTCTCATCGCGTGCCATTCAAACAGGATTATGTGTAATAAATATCGTCATGGACTAATTAGCTTTTCTCAGTGCATAGAGAAATCACATAAGAGTAATCCTCCTGGCTCTGCTCATTGGGACCGTTAAGTCTGCCTCCACAACACCACATGTTGCTCCTGCTGCCATTAACTTTAAGTTTTCCTTCAGACTGACACTGATGCAGTGACTGAAGTATGCAGTATGAATCTTTTAAAGGCACACTGACACACATTTTAAAATCCATTTAAAACTGCATTAACTGAACGACCTAAGACAATCAATGGACAGAGCATTTTAAGCCTCTCCCACGAGGGAGTGAGCAAATGGATTTTAGATGATCATTTTCTGCTGTAGGTTTTTTTGACTTTCTGATAATAGTACAGTATTGCACCAGTATTGAGCTTTTTGTAAAGCTGTACCACCAGTAAGCATGATAAAGATAACAGTAAAAGTATTGAATAGTGGCTTACTGCTGTAGAAACAGAGATCACAGTGGAATGCTTGTTAATTACTTGGTAGTTTCACAGCTTTTACGCATCATAACAACATATTGCAGTGCCAGATTTGTCTTGTTCAGTCTAAGCAGGGCTCAGCCAGCGTTTGAGGGTGCTAATTAACGTGTGGTAATCACAGTTAAATCGCAGTAGTATCCTTGTACGCTCTCAGTAAACTTGGCAGGTTGGAAAATGACTTGGCATGGCCCTGTCCTGGCTGCTGAGGCTACAAATGTGTCTGGCCAGCATGCCTGCTGTCAGCCCTTCTTTCACCTTATTAGCTATCTTCCCTTCTAGCTGCCAACATGGACGGTCTTCTTCACCTCCTTCCTCAGGTTTTTTCATCTTAATTGAGTCAATAGGCAGGTTGAGAGTTTAGGTGAATCAAGAGGAAAAGTCCTGAATCAAACTTCTAGTAAAAAGTCTCTAAAGTACCAACTTGTTTACCAACAGGTGTATAACTATGTTTAAGAACAACTCTAAAGTGATGGCATGATTGACTGATGTGCTCATATTGTATATTTCTTTAAAAATCCTGCTGTGCTATATTATTCTGCAAGAACATATATGATGTTATTTTTTGTAAAACTTAATTTTGTGTGAAATCGATTATTTCAAGTCTCAGGGAATTATTAACATGGGAAATGAACAATAATCTAATATATTTCTAATGTCTAAATATATGAATAGGGGTAAAACTAGAGACCACACCCTTCAAACTTCAATCTCAACTACAAACCTGCTTCATGAGTGTGTCTTGTACTGTAGTGACAGGTTACAAGCAGTTCCCGCTACAGTAGGTGTCTCCAGGACCACATTTTGCCAACACACACACACACACACAGTCAAAATGATGTGATGTGAAATTGGCTGAAATGAACATAAAATTCTGAGACATTCTGCTGGTGGTAGACGAGATACGTTAGACAAATCACGTAATGACAATTTAGCATCGCAAGGACAAGTGCAGACAATGAAGATGCTTTGACAGTGACTAAATAAAATTAATGCCAAATTTATTCTTGTGTTGCCGCCCTGATAAATGCCAAGATGGTTTACACCCTATCAGATGTTAGAACGCACGCAAATAATCGACTAAAACTACTCTATTCTTAATTCTTAATATACTGCCTGCATGTTGTGTTGTTGTTATCCCTATATTGTCAGACAGAAAACAGACCTGTTTGGCTCTGTTTCTGTACTGCAGTCATTGAGATTCTACCTTTACCCATCTTAAGAGACCCTCATACATTAAGGAGCATTTTTAAGCCGAAACAAGTTTGAAAAATAGTTTTTATTCTTAAGGGTTAGGGTCATCTTTGACTGCAGTCCATTGTGATAAATACAGGCCCAGGTTGTTTTGTTTTTCGACATAGCTGGGATTCACCAACAAACTGCAAATATTCAAATCACATAGTGAGAGCTGCAGTCTTGCCATACTTCAAATCATTCATTCACATCTTCTCTATTTGCTGGACAAGCCTGAAACTCAAGATCAGGACACACCCATCACTCGGATATCCTCATACTCTGTGACTCAGCGTGATGATGTTTTCAGAGCACAACTGGCTCTGCTGTTAGTGTTGTTGTCAGTGCAGCATGACTTCATCATCATGCGTCTTGTGGGCCATTGTTCTCCTCACAACACTCAACTATTCACCATCCATGGGACCCTGATCCTGATCTCATAGTTTGTACTTGCCTGTTATAGTGTCAATATTTACCATCAGTCCTGTGAGAGCGCGGGAGTGTAAAAGTAAGTAGGTCAGTTCTTGTGCCTCCTACGTTGTTATTTTATTCCTCACAACTATATAGTTTTGTGTAAAGTTAGATTTACTCAGCAACTTTCAACCCCCACAGCTAAAGTATCACAGCAAGTTCAACCTGTCTCCCCTTCTCTGCGCTTCTCCTTTGAGGTATTATCCGCAGTTATGAACTTTTATTTGTTCCTAAGGCTGATAAGATGTGTGGAGACAGTAGCCTTTGTTGCTGTCAGGGAAAATACCAGCATGTTAGAAGCCATTTTACATCTCAAATGAAAAGAGACCCTTTCTTCTGCTGCCTCATGCCTCGCAAGCCGAATGCCTCAAGCCCTGTTTGTGCTGCTTGAATGGGTTTAATGAATGGCCTGTTCTGGTTCTCCGTGTGTGGGCCACTACAGTCTTGAGGGATATTTGTATGCTTCAGTCTACTGTATATCATTTCTATTTTGCTTCTGTCATCATCACTGAGTGTGTTTTTGACATTAAAAACGTCCTTGAAAACACCCTCCTGTGGAGATTTAAAAGCTGGGATCTGGCCTTAGTGGTATCTTAAAGCAAAACCATTTCCACCAGTGCTTGAGGCTCGACTAGAGATTTGTCCTTAAGGCCTTCAGACTTGCCTTTGACTTGTCTCAGATGACTTAAAGCTTGACATAAGACTGCAGGCTTGACTTCATGACTTAAGACATGGTATTACAAGATGTGACACTTGTTGTACTTGTCTTGAAAGACTTGAGAGCTGCTTTTACAAGATTTGAGACTTGACTTGGACTTGTTAAGGACAGGAGACCTGACTTTGGGTTGTCTTCAATGAAAAGGATATTACAAGACTTAAGACTTGACCTGGGCCTCTCTTAATCAACCTGAGACTTAGACTTGTCTTGAAGGACCTCAGATTTACTATTATAGGATTTAAGACTTGACTTGACTTGACTTGGACTTGATATTTGATTTTGACTCATCTTGAATGACTTGAGAGGCTTGACTCTGTCTTGTTCTTAAGGACTAGAGACTTGCAATTACGAAAGGTAACCTTCGACTTGAACTTGTCTCAAATGACTTGATACTTGTCATTGCAACACTTGTTCTTAAGGACTTACGATGATAATGGTACTATGATACCTGAGTTGGACTTTTCTCAAACGATTTGCAACTTGATTTAAGTCTAAACATCATTAAGGACTTGAGACTTTACTGGACTTGCTATTACAACTCGTCTGAAATTTGAGACCTGACTAAAGACTGGCTTGAGCAAGACTTGAGACTGGACTGGATTTGTTCTTAGTGACTTGAGACTTGAATTGACAAGACTAAAGGCTTGACTTTAATTTGCTCTTAAGGACTTGAGACTTTACATTAGATTAGACTTCGAATTGTCTGGAATGATTTGAGACTTGACTTTGACCCCACAAGAGTAACATGTAATTGGGAGTTACTGTGTAAACATGTATTAAAACATGTTTGTCATTTTTCTCTCTCAGAGCGAGTGACCCCTCTGAGCTGCCACCATGGCCCTGGTTCAGGCTCTGCCCATATCTGCTGAGCCCCACAACCCTGGCCTCAGTGGAGGAGCCCGTAGACGACACACCTCTGGCCCTTCACCCCCCATCAACGCACCACCACCCTCCACTCTGGATCCTATGGGCTCTGTCAGCAGCCTCATAGCCGCCCGCCCCGGCCCTTACCAGGACCACCGCTCTGGTGTTGAGCTGGGAGCAAGACTCCGACGACCCACACCAGGCGCTTCCTGCCTGGGCAGTGAGTCCCCCCAGGACCCTTTGCTGCAGAACATCCCACCACTCAAGAAACAGAGCTCCACAACATCCAGCAGGGGGCTGGAGAAGGAGAGTGGGAATGGGAACTACACCTATCTGAATGAGGACTTTGTAGGTGACTGGAATGAGAACCACGTAACACCCGCCAGCCCAGGGAGTGACGCAGATGAGACTAAAGAAGGATCAGGGCTGAATGGGAATATGGGGGGACCTCCTCCAAAACTGATCCCTGTGTCAGGAAAACTTGAGAAGGTGGGTCTTTGAATAAATGATTTTGACTTTACTGATAAACACTGATATTACAATAAATGTCATTTTATGTAGGAATATCAGTATACTTAAAGGCATAGTACATTCTCTGGAAAGTCTATTGAGTTGCATTTTTTTGGAATATGCATAACAATGACAGCCTTACAGGGGGTGCTATGCACATTAAGTCCTAACAATATGTTTCAATTCTGCATCAGAAAAGATATTTTTTCTTTTTTGGCCTCATCACTCAGCCCTACCTCCTTCTCAACCTTGGTCCTGTCCTGTTTCCTCCTCTAGAACATGGAGAAAACAGTGCTGCGGCCCACTGCCTTCAAACCGGTCATTCCGAAGAGCCGCACCTCCATGCAATACCTCTCCCCTCGCCATTGTGCCAACGCATCAGAAAGCCAAAACAACCTAAACTTGCTCAGCCCCTCCCACAGAGAGGTGTCGCCCTCCTGCTCTGAGAAACGTAGCTCATACGGCGGGGCCCGCAACAGTGGCGGCGGTGGCGGTGGCAGCAGCCAGTCCTGCTCCCTGTCCGACTCTGGACGTAACTCCCTCTCCAGCCTGCCACCTTACAGCGCTGCCAGCTACAGCCTGGCATCAGGAGAGGCCCCTGGTGGCCACCTGGAGCCCATGAAGAGCGCTCCACCAGTCACTGCACATGGACACTCCAACTCAGACAGCGGCCGCTCATCCTCCAGTAAGAGCACAGGCTCCGGGTCGATAAGTGGCCGGGGGCAGCCTCTATCTGACAGCGGGTCCAGTGGGCGCTCCCCCGGCCCTGTGGAGGGTTATGAAGGGGTGGTGAGGGACCTGGAGGACAAACTTAGGGAGAGAGAACTGGAGCTGCAGCAACTAAGAGACAACCTGGATGAGAACGAAGCTGCAATTTGTCAGGTGGGTAGATAGTACAGAAATTCCAAACTTTTTTTAATGACTGGACATTTGTTTTGTACTGTAAATTCTAATGGATCTGCACTTTGTTGTTGTCTCCTGTCTTGTCTTGCAGGTTTATGAGGAGAAGCAGAAGCGCTTTGAACTGGAGCTGGAGGAGCTGAGGCAGAGCTGTGCCACCAGGATGCAGGTAGCCTCCCAGAAAGCCCAGCGTGCCCAGCAGGTGCTTCAGTTGCAGGTGAGAACATCTGACAAAAAAAACTGTTTTTTCACAGTATACAGTGACAGAACATTCTGATAATCAGTCTTGCAAACAAAGCATCAGTTACTGGCAAAACAATCTCACCAAAAGGTCCATTAGCAGCTGAATGGAAGTTCTTCAAAAAAACTTTTAAAAAAAAAAAAAAAAAAAAAAAAAAAAAAAAATTTAAAAAAACACAATCATTTTTCTCTCTCAGAGCGAGTGACCCCTCTGAGCTGCCACCATGGCCCTGGTTCAGGCTCTGCCCATATCTGCTGAGCCCCACAACCCTGGCCTCAGTGGAGGAGCCCGTAGACGACACACCTCTGGCCCTTCACCCCCCATCAACGCACCACCACCCTCCACTCTGGATCCTATGGGCTCTTGTCAGCAGCCTCATAGCCGCCCGCCCCGGCCCTTACCAGGACCACCGCTCTGGTGTTGAGCTGGGAGCAAGACTCCGACGACCCACACCAGGCGCTTCCTGCCTGGCAGTGAGTCCCCCAGGACCCTTTGCTGCAGAACATCCCACCACTCAAAAAACAGAGCTCCACAACATCCAGCAGGGGGCTGGAGAAGGAGAGTGGGAATGGGAACTACACCTATCTGAATGAGACTTTGTAGGTGACTGGAATGAGAACCACGTAACACCCGCCAGCCAGGGAGTGACGCAGATGAGACTAAAGAAGGATCAGGGCTGAATGGGAATATGGGGGACCTCCTCCAAAACTGATCCCTGTGTCAGGAAAACTTGAGAAGGTGGGTCTTTTGAATAAATGATTTTGACTTTACTGATAAACACTGATATTACAATAAATGTCATTTTATGTAGGAATATCAGTATACTTAAAGGCATAGTACATTCTCTGGAAAGTCTATTGAGTTGCATTTTTTTGGAATATGCATAACAATGACAGCCTTACAGGGGTGCTATGCACATTAAGTCCTAACAATATGTTTTCAATTCTGCATCAGAAAAGATATTTTTTTCTTTTTTGGCCTCAATCACTCAGCCCTACCTCCTTCTCAACCTTGGTCCTGTCCTGTTTCCTCCTCTAGAACATGGAAAAACAGTGCTGCGGCCCACTGCCTTCAAACCGGTCATTCCGAAGAGCCGCAACCTCCATGCAATACCTCTCCCCTCGCCATTGTTGCCAACGCATCAGAAAGCCAAAACAACCTAAACTTGCTCAGCCCCTCCACAGAGAGGGTGTCGCCCTCCTGCTCTGAGAAACGTAACTCATACGGCGGGGCCCGCAACAGTTGGCGGCGGTGGCCGGTGGCAGCAGCCAGTCCTGCTCCCTGTCCGACTCTGGACGTAACTCCCTCTCCAGCCTGCCACCTTACAGCGCTGCCAGCTACAGCCTGGCATCAAGGAGGGCCCCTGGGCCACCTGGAGCCCATGAAGAGCGCTCCACCAGTCACTGCACATGGACACTCCAACTCAGACCAGCCGCCGCTCATCCTCCAGTAAGAGCACAGGCTCCGGGTCGATAAGTGGCCGGGGGCAGCCTCTATCTGACAGCGGGTCCAGTGGGCGCTCCCCCGGCCCTGTGGAGGGTTATGAAGGGGTGGTGAGGACCTGGAGGACAAACTTAGGGAGAGAGAACTGGAGCTGCAGCAACTAAGAGAACAACCTGGATGAGAACGAAGCTGCAATTTGTCAGGTGGGTAGATAGTACAGAAATTCCAAAACTTTTTTTAATGACTGGACACATTTGTTTTGTACTGTAAATTCTAATGGATCTGCACTTTGTTGTTGTCTCCTGTCTTGTCTTGCAGGTTTATGAGGAGAAGCAGAAGCGCTTTGAACTGGAGCTGGAAGCTGAGGCAGAGCTGTGCCACCAGGATGAGCAGGTAGCCTCCCAGAAAAGCCCAGCGTGCCCAGCAGGTGCTTCAGTTGCAGGTGAGAACATCTGAACAAAAAAAACTGTTTTTTCACCCAGTATTA